GCACATTGAGGCCATACTCTTAAGTGAAATAAATAGGACACACATGTGTAAATACTGAATAGTTTCTCTGGTGTAAAAAACTAAAAGTGTAAATAAGAATCAAAATTTATAATTGATATTGTGAAATAGGAAGGAAATGTCTAAAGGAATAGGGGAAGTGGGAGAGGAAGGGGAAAGGAAAGCAGGGAAAAGAAAAAATATGAGAAAAGGAAAAACATGGAAACAAAGTCTGTAAATAGGGAAAGGTGGAGGGCATGAAGGGAGGGCAGGGGAATGGGGAAAAAATAAGAACCAAGATACATCATGTACAGGTACAAGATCCCAGTGATGAATGTAACTGTATTGTATACCTAAAATGTACCAATAAACTAAATGAAAAAAATGTATTATGATCCAGTTGTGGTCCTTTGAAAAATGGGTGTGATTTAGTTTTTAGAAAATTTACTCAGGAGAAACAGTTCATCCCCTAAAAGACTGGATAAATGACACACAATTGAAATACCATGTCTCTGAGATACTTAAGGTGCCACCAGGCTTCTATTTGAGAAAATTCATCCAGAGAATATTAGAGATTGATGAGAAGAGCTACTATGTCAACATGTATTTATGTATGTGTTTGTTCATTCTTCAGAAAATTAATACGAGAATCAAGGTTCCAGATCACTCTCAGTTGGATCACTTGATTTGGCCTCTACTGATGATGAGAAGTTAAAAGTGGGGATCATCGGAGGTGGCCATCTTGGGAAGCAGCTGACTTGTGCACTTGTCCCCCTCCCTGCTGAGAGCCTGCGCATCTCCACTTGGAGGCCAGAGACCTTGAGTGAGGAACAGTGTGTTACATAGGAGGTTTGGTTGTGTTAGTCATGTGTTGACAAGGCCATTTTGAAAGGGTCCCTTTAAAAAGGAATCGTTGTGTGCAGCATGCACAGTTCTGAGCTTGCTAGTTCTGAGAAAAGGTACAAAGATGGCTTTTCAACTTGTTGCTTAAAGCAGCTTTTCTCTCCACTTAAATGTTATATCCATCTCTCCTTCTTGTGCCTTTGGTGGTGAATTATTTTTCTGGGTCTGTGATATAGGGAAGCTTTCCTTCTAGACTTCTTCTAACTGGAGGAGTTAGTCTGGTGGACATTAGACAGTTCCAAGTATTTGGATTTGGGCTTATATTTTAAAAACTACTAAAATCTAAAAACATGTTTTATAATGATTCCATTCACTAATCTATGTGATAGAAATAAATAAATGCAATTATAGAAATAAATGCAGTGGTTGCTTCTGAGGAGATGTACTGAGAAAGGGCCTGAAGAATTTTCCAGGGAGATGGAGATGTTTTACATCTTGAGGGAAGTATGGGTTACATGAATGTATACACTTGTCAAAACTATTCAAACTGTATACTTTGGATCTGTGTGTGGTACTATATATAAACTATACTTCAATAATTCAAAACCACATGGGTATTATAGAAAATTACTCTAGAAGGAAGAAAATAACTGCTATAATTTTACCAGGATTAGCAGTTTCTTCCTATTTTTTTCTTTAATTCTATCAGTCATTTTATACTGATATAAATGTTGTTGTTTGTATCCTGATTTTTTTTTTCTTTTGAGACAGGATCTTGCTATGTAGTCCAGGCTGCCCTTGAACTCACTATATAGCTCTGGCTGGCCTCAAACCCCTGGTGGTCCGCCTGCCTCAGCTTCCCAAGTGCTGGGATTACAGGTGTGTGCCACCACGCCCAGGTTGTATCCTGATTTTTCCACTTAATGTTTTACAAGCTTATTCCCATATCACTTAACATTCTTAAAATAATGGGGGTTTTTTGCCCTTCCATTGTTCCACTGGCAAGCTTTGAGCACACTCACCTGGTGCTCCCCACAGTGCAGGTGCACTGCACTTGGTTGGCACTGTCGGTGCTGACCTGTGTGCCTGACTGGGTAGTAGTTGAGAATGCCAGGTATTCCACACTATTCTCCTTTCCTTTGTTTTTTTCCTCAGGATTTAAAATGTATTTTCATCAGTAAAGAGATTAAATTTAATGTAAGAAATGATTTTGAGATTGCACAGCATTTCAAAGTGTAGATATAATTTATATAACCATATTATTTGGTTGAACTTGCTTGTACATAATTTTCAAAATAAAACTCAGGCAACAAATAGGTACAGCTTTCAGGTGTGGTGGCACACACCTGTAATCCTAGCACTCAGGAGGCAGAGGCAGGAGGATCGTTGCAAGTTCGAGGTCAGCCTGGACTACACTGAGTTCAAGACCAGCTTGAACCTTCATAGCGAAGCTCTATCTCAAACAACAACAAACTCAGATAGGTAAAGCTTTATTAAAGTATTTGTATTCAATAAACTACACACCAAGTGTACAATTTGATGGGTTTTTTTTTTTTGGTACTGGGGATCGAACTCGGGGCCTTGTGCTTGCAAGGGAGGCAGCAGAACCACTGAACTAAATCCCCAGCCCCACAATTTGGTGTTTTGACACATGTGTGTATACCTGTGAAACCCATAGATACAGTCAAGGTCGAAAAGTTGCCTCTGTCCTTTGTGATACCTATTTCTCTCCCTCGCTTCAGCTCCCTGCTCAAGAAACCAATGACAATGATTTCTGTCACCATAAATTAGTTTTCATATTCTAGAATTTTGTTAATGGAACCATACATTTTGTTTTTTCAGGTTGTTCTAGTATGCACAGGTTAAACCTAGGGCCTTAAAATTTTTTATTTTGAGTCAGGTTTTCGCTAAGTCATTACGTAGCCTATGCTGGGCTTGAACCTGTGATCCTCCTGTGAGAGTCTCCGAGAATGCTGGGATTATAGGTGTGCACCACCATGCCTAGCTTTTACTTTCTTTTGGTCTGACTTCTCTTATTATTGTAACTATTTTGAGATATATCAACATCATTTTCATGTATCAGTATTCTTATTTCTGAGTAGTATTTCATTGCATGCATATTTCACAGTTGACCTACTCATCTGTTTATATAGGTTGTTTCCAGTTTTTGGCTATTACAAATAAAGCTGCTATGAACATCTGTATATATGTATTCATGTGGGCATTTGCTTTTCATTTTTCTTGGGTAAATACCTGGGATTGAAATGGCTGGGACATGTATATGTTTATTTGTTAAAGAAACTTCAAATACATTTTTTTCAAATTGACCTCAGAAAAGGTGGCTCAGGGCCAGGGATTTAGCTCAGTGGCACCATACCTGCCTCGAAAGCACAAGGACCCAAGTTTGATCCCCGGTACCAAAAAAACAAGGTGGTTCAGTGTAAAATTTCACCAGTATTGTGTAAGAATGCCCATTTCATTACATCCTGGTCAATGCTGGTAATCATTTTTAACAACACTATTTAATATACTTTTAGACTTTTTGTTTTCTCTTTTATTGATCACTGGAAGTGTTGAATATTTTTCATGAGTTTATTGATATTTCATATTTTTTCAGTTGCTTGTGTTTATTTTTAGGTTGGATTGCCTGTATTTTTTTTTTAGTGAATTGTAAATGTTCATTCTATATAAAGGAAACTTTAAAAAAACTTACCACTCAGGTGTATTTCTTAAGCCTACGAATATCTTAAGTAGTATATATGATATTTCAGTATAGTATCTATATTCTTTGAAAAGCAGTGTTTTTATTAGTAATAAAATTACAATTTAAAAGTACTTCTCTGTGTTGAATAAGGAAGCAAGAATTCAAAATGCTCAGCAATAGCTTCTATGCACATGACCAGAATGAGGATACCTCCCAAAAGAATGATGTGTC